GGGGGGGGGGGGGTATTTTTTAAATATATTAAAAATACAAACAATATTTAAAGACCAGCCCCGTATAGGACTCTCCTGTCAATCACCCAACAACATTTGAAATTTGACTTGGGCAGGTCAAATTAGGCCTCATGACTACTAACACATGATTGTTCAATGTGGGGTGATTTGCACAAATATGATACTTTTGTGCAGGTATTTAGATTTCGGCTTACACAAACTCTACCGCATTATCATTATATCTATCTTTTCTTATTTAAAAGACACAAAGGGAAAAAAAATTATATTTGAAAATGGTAAAGTGCAAATCATAATAAATCGGAGGGATAACTCGCAAACTTTACAAGATTATCATAATTTTAAAGATATCTCTTTTATGATTTCAAAGCTATAACAAAAAAATACATTGCAAAAGGATGGTATGCAAGTCATGATATTTTCACTAGGACATCATGTTATATTCAACCAAACTTAGATATTCTACCGACTGACATGAATTGCTTTTAGATGGTTCACAAATCCTATTGGATTGCATCACTTTGTGTTCTCTGCACTTTGACTTATCTTGTTAAATTTACTCCGCGCATGATCTCAAATTTGAAACAAAATCTCCAAGCACCAATAATTCCCAATCATCAATTTAGTAAAAAGAATACCAAATCAAGAAAATTTACTTTGTATTCTTTAAAACATTTTTTTTAATGAAATATTTGTATTTATATTCATAAAATACAAGATATATATGATGTACAAATAAAATATAAGTGCTATAATATATCGTACATAAATATAATAAGTGGTATAATATATCCTACATAAATATAAAAGACAAAATTACATAATAATGCACTCCATAAGTTGACCTTGCATTATTTTAGCCCACTTACAAGTTTGCAAATGTGTAGCCAAACATCAATAAGCTTAGATCTGAATTTTTTTAGCCCACTCAGAGATGCCTTCCGATAAAACTTTTCAGAACTCAAAAGCATCCTACACAATACAATCTGGGTGTGTGGGGAGGAAAAGGGCGGATTCAACAAACCCTTCCATACACAGATCAAAAACATTTAATGGAGGTTATGAACATCCTGATAGCTTTCTCAGCTTACCTTCTTCACCTATTAAAATCTCCATTCTTAGCTAAGATATAAAGGTCATTGCCTCATCCTTAATATGTCTTTTCTTTCTCCAAGGCAAAAAAAAATTCAACACTGTCTTCCTTCACTGCTAGAAATACGATCCAAACTTAAAAGGGATACCCTGTCCAAATAAGGTCGTCCAACTTATACTAAGATCTGCATTAATCCAATAGCATTGCATTAAAGTCTAGATGCTCATCCATATGGAAGCAATATGCTCATTCAGTGTCAAAGCACTCCTGAATAGAATAGCAATAATTATTGCAGAGAGCGGTTTCTCGCATCAGATTTTAACCTATAAGATAAAAGGACATTACACATTATGGTCAGAAGTCAGAAAACAGCTCAAACAACAAAAATGAATCAAGACAACTACATCAAATACAATTGAGAAAATCCACAGTACTGCTCTGCATTCTGCACAACTACATCAGTATACTTTGCAAAGAGAAACAGATTCACTTATACAAGGCTGATACATTATTTACAGGATCCAAATATCAAAAATTGCAAGTGAAAATCGTACAAAAAATTTATCAGAAATGCTTATACACTTTTATACAATATTATATACTTTTATACAAAGAGGTATATTATATATATAGTTGTATAAAAGTGTATAAAAATGAAGAGGAGGAGGAAGAGGAATAAGAAATGTATCAGCCTTGTATAAAATAATGTATAAGAGATGTTTATACACTATTATATCTTACTTATACAATATTATACACCATTATATACTATTATACAAATGAATCATATTAATGGAGCTTCACTGATTCTTCTTCTTCTTTGGGCATCTTCTGAAATTCAACTCAAATCTACCTCAAATCTGCTCCAAATCACTTCAAATTTGAGATTTGAACTCCCCTTGACGATCCCAATCAATTGGGCCAACACCCAATCCAAACAACTAACAAAATCGAAAAATCCAATTTTGAAATTGAAGCTTCGAAGGACCTTTAATGGTGACTCCAAAATAGTAATTCTCTTAAGTAGTATTTTTTCTTCTCATCTTAATAGTGATTATCAACTTTGA